AGCTAGCAAGCAAGCTAGTTAGCAAAACATTCAGTCACCTGGATTACAGCATAACAGTGTCCAAAGACGGTACTAGGACTTTTTGCGTGCAGTTACAATGAAATGGATTTTGCCATAAGGAATGTTATTTAGATAGATAAGTGTACTTGCATTATTTCACCAACATCAGCATGTGGAGATTTCATTTAATTAACTTGAACTATTTCTAGAAATGCAAATGTAACTCTACACCTTCCAGACAAGACAGTCTTGAGAGCAACCACTCCGAGTCCGAACAACTTCCCTCCACTTTAGAGAGGTGTGTATGCTACAGTGGGCTGATCTGACTGGCCATGATTGATGTGATGCTGTAAACCATTCCACTGATAATGTATTGCTCGTAATCCAATCCCAGTTTCCATTTATGCTGCAGGTGCGCCGCGCAGTTTGCCTCTGGCTGCGAGAATACCAAACATAGCCACCACACCCTGTGCACCTTGTGCCCTGTCTGGTTCACTGGCCTTTCCCCCCATGCATCATTGATTATCTTATAATGTGAAGGGTGGAGATGCTCTGGGTGTCAGGTGCTGTAAGAGTGAATATGGTAGTGGTGTGTTAAGAGGAGACGTTTGTTTCCCTGGAAATATTCATGGGAAAAAAGATGTGGAGGTGGGAGTAAGATCACTGACAGAAATTAGGTAAAAGAGGAGGAATTATCATGATGTTCATTACATGCAGTGAATGTAGAGGTCTAGGGGTTAGATAGATGTGTAAGTGGCATTGTGGTTTCTTGTCCAATGTTATGCTTGCAGTCTGCACTTAATCATGATCAAAGTATTTGAAATATATCCACAAGTATGCTCCTAATGCTTGCCATTTAAAGTTACAGTGTGCACTAAATATTTAGTTTGTGAATTCTATGGCTCTTATTTTGGTAATAATTTATGCAGTTGCTGTCACGACAACATCACGACATCAAGCTGTTTGTCAGACATCATGTCAGACCTGCCAGACCTGCACTGCATCACTGAAATTCTTCATAGGAAGCTGTCAGTTATCAGGAACTATAAATCATTTGCCAGACAGTCATGGATGTCAAAGAGCCCCACATTCATTTAAGGTTTTGTCATCGCATGCAAATTTAATATTCAGATTTTCCACAATGTCACTTTATATGTCAGAAAGTGCATGTAGAGATAGGCATTTCCACAGATTTGTGTGTATGTACGTCATGTGATTTTAAATGCTGTATACCTGTATATAAATATATAATAGAAACCCTAAATCACAAAAAAAGTAGAAATGTAAACAGTAAGTGATTCATGCCTACTTTGTCATAAAAAAATTAAAGGGTCAGTTCACCCTAAAATCATAAAATACATATTTTTCCTCCTACCTGTAGTGCTATTCATTAATCTACCTAGTTTTGGTTTGAGTTGCCGACTGCTGGAGATATCAGCCCTGGAGTTGTCGGCCATTTCTAGAATATAATGGAACTATGATGGCACTCAGCTTGTGCTGCTCAAAGTGCCAAAAAAAAAATACATTTGTAAACTCAACAGTAATGTCTCTTTCCAGAAATCCTGACCAACTTACTCAAGATAACCCTCGTTGTGAGCAATTGCATGTTGGAACTATTTTCTTTCTATTGAACTACACCTGCCAGCCGTATCACCCCGCAGAAGAAGTGTGCACCTTCTAATGGATGAGAGGCCTGGGCTCGTGAAAGCGTGATATGTAAACAGTGTTAGCTAGCTCAGTGTTGCTAATTCAGCTAGCAGTAGATGCACGCTTCCTTCTGTGTTGTGATACTTTGAGCACCATATGCCGCGTGCCATCTAGTTCCATTATACTAGAGAAAAAGGCAGACATCTCTATGGCCGATATCTTAAACACCAAAAAACACAGTGGGGAACAGCTCAGACCATCACGCTGAAAGGTCTTTGATGGTAGCTGCCTTCCTGTGTATCATGGGTTAAACAGACAAGTGGTAATAGGTAACACTAAAAACAAAAATATGCAATCCCCTTGAGGCAGGAAGTATAGCCATTATTAGTCGCTGCGTTCTTCAACAAGTATTTTGTTATTACAGCTTCTCTGACACGGCATGCACGGATACTTGGGTCATTCGTGCATACCTAATGTGATCTCCACTGAACTCTTTATATCGTGAATGTCCCTTGTCAATGATCCATCTCATCAGATTAGTGAGAAAAACCACTGGTATTTAACTGGGAAATACCCAACTAGTCAGGTCACTGAAATGCTGCTAATGCACAGGGGTGGTAAGTAACAAAGTACATTTACTCAAGTACTATATTTAAGTACATTTTAAAGTATTTGTACTGTACTCAAGTAGTTTGATTTTCTGCTGCTCTTTACTTCAACTCCCCCACAATCCAGGGGCAATATTCTGAGTATTGTTAAAATGCTACTTAAGTAAACGTACATAAGTACTATCCCCAAAATGTACTTTAAGTGTCAAAAGTAAAAGTACTCATTATGCCAAATGTCTCCTTTCTATAATATTGTATTATTCTATTTTTATCCCCAACACATACATGTAGAAGTATTTTAATGTTTGTAAATGTGGAGCTAATTTTAGATACTCTATATACTACTGGGTAGATTAGTAATATAGCAGTGCATGATATTGTATGTTTTTCTTTATATTAAAAGAGACTAGTAGGTGTCAAATGTAGAACACTATGCCTCTGATATGTAGTAACATATGAAGTTACATAAAAAGTATAAATACTCAAGTGAAGTATAAGGTTGTCATAATTGTACTTACTGTAAGTACAATATTTAGAATCTAACTAGGTACACTTACTCAAGTACTGTACATGAGTACAAATTCTAAATACTTGTACTTTACTTTAGTATTTCCACTTATTCAACTTTATTCTTCTACTTCACTACACTTCAGAGACAATATTGTACTTTTTAGTCAACTACATTCCTCTGACTGCTTTAGTTACTTTTCAAATTACAATTGCAAACCCTCCCTGTCCAGTAAAAACCATTGGTGATTTTTAAAGGGACTGAGGGATTGAGTGTTTTTTAAAACTCTGATGCATTGCTGTAGATTAAACAGTATATAAAGAAGTTTAAATGAGCACATCTACAGCAGTTATATGCAACACACATATATAATGCAGCAGTAATATCAATGTATAAAACGTATTATTTAATAGTAAAACACTGACAAAGACCATTTCACTGCATAATGAGTACTTTTATTTTTGATACAGATAATACTTAGATTCTAGTAGCCTATGCACATTTACTCAACTTATGTGCATTTTAAGGTATTTGTACTTTACTTGAGTATTTCCATTTTTTGCTACTTTATATTTATACTACTACTCCACTTCATCTCAGGGACAGACATTGTGGTTTTTACATCACTACATTTAGCCTATTTGACATTAGTTACTTAACAAATTCAGATTATTGATAAAGAATATAATCAACTAATGAGCAGTATATAGCAATATATATATATATATATATATATATTTCCAGCAGTATATCAAGCAGCCTAGTTAAAATGAGTCCTACCTTAACCAGCTGCAACATTAAAATTATGATCTCCTGCATATAGTCTCTACAGAATCGTAAAGTTTGGTGACTTTTCTTCTGTTTTGTGTGACTAATGGGACCGTTCTGTTTGATTTTTTTTTTTTTTAATGTTTATTTGAACAATAATGGTATTGATAACATATATTATTATATCCTATTATATTCATTCATTCATTTTCCATAACTGCTTATCCTGTTAGTGTCGCAGGGGGCTGGAGCCTATCCCAGCTGACACTGGGCAACAGGCAGGGTACATCCTGGACAGGTCCCCAGGGTTGACACATAGAGACAGGCAATCATTCACACTCACATTCACACCTACGGCCAATTTAGAATCATCAATTAACCTGCATGTCTTTGGACTGTGGGAGAAAGCTGGAGTACCCGGAGAAAACCCATGCTGACACAGGGAGAACATGCAAACTCTGCATAGAAGGGCTCCCACACCCAGGGATCAACCCGAGTAAGATTTTGCATGTAGGACTTTCACTTGGAGCAGAGTATTTATACACTGTGGTATTACTATCTTTACTTAGGTAATATATCTGAGCTCTTCTTCCACCATTGTACCCAGTTACACTCTACCACAGCTTTAGAAACACTGTAAACAAGTTGTTTTACCCATCTTTACACATGATGCTGTCCACAATCTTCTCCTGTCATGTGCACTAAACTGCCTTTCGGCATGAATAGCTTGTGCCTGGATTCTAACACATAAATCAAGTAAATATTTGTAAGTTTAGTATTGTCCACTACCATACACTATTCAAAATATACAGAAACTGTTGTGTAAACTTAGATATGATCAGAACCTATATGATATATCATATCAACACAGATATTCTTACCTTACGTAAGTGCTTAAATGGCTCATACAGTACAATGCCAGTATTGTATAGTTCTGGGGTCTTAATTGGCTTACTTTATAGAGGGGGTGGCACATCAAATCAAATCATATCCTTCTTCCATTTATTTTATGGAAGAAGACTGCACAAACGTATGTGTGTGCTTGTGTGTTTGCTTGCCCTGTCGTTAGTTCTATAGTGTTATACTGTTACTGTATATTTGGGGTTTCTCAATTGACTTTATATAAGAGGAGTGCACTCCCAATTTGGAAACACTTGGATTTGGGGGTGGAGGGGGCAAAGCAACATGGCTTAGGGCACCCAAATGGCCAGCAACGGCCCTGATTCAGATTTTGCATGTAGGACTTTGACTTGGAACAGAGTATTTATACACTGTGGTTTTACTACCTTTACTTAGGTAATATATCTGAGCTCTTCATCCACCATTGCACTCAGTTACACTCCACCACTGCTGTTGAAACACTGTAAACAAGTAGTTTTACCCAGCCTGGCCCTCCTTCCTGTAGTCTTTACCTGCCTTGTTCCTCTCGCTGGTGAGTGTGCAGCGGTTGGGCAGCCTCTGACGTTGTGGTGCAGGTCTCACAGTGTTGCACAGGCCGGGCCCAGTGCCGCAGGTTGTCCGGTAGGGTGCCTGCCGAGCTACAAGCATGCTGTTGATGTCAGGAGCAGAAGAGGAGGGGAACGTGAGGAATGGCTGAAAACTGTCGGTGATCTCCTGTTAGGAAACAAACCATGATTGTCCGGTGTGTTTAACTGAACATTTCACCGCCGCCGGGATCAGCCTGTTAGCGTCGCATTAGCAGGCACCGCTCGTTGTGGTTATATATTTTTTGTGGTTATTTAATGGGACAACGAAAACGCAAAAAAACGCAAGGTAGGCTACCGCTCCTGTCGCCAGCCCTGCTACTTTATTTTCATGGACTAATACGACACACAGGGGGGTTGAGAAATGTTTCACAGCAAGGTAAAACACTCGTCTACGGAGGTAGTGTTTGCTTGTTAACGCTAGCTAAACTGTGCCGTTGGTATTTTCTGGTCGGGCTCGTGAATGTATGAAGTGCTCGGACGTTATATTTTGTTTTGAAAAGCGTCGGTCAGGCTTCATCTCTTCATGCCTCAACCGACCAAACCACATGAGAAGTCGACGTCCGGAGTAGACTAAACCACAAAGGAAAGGCCATCTTTTTTGTCGCTTTCACCTGAACCGACGGGGAGAAAATGCGTGTGGATTTGTTTTGGATATGTTTGTGGTGTTTGCTTCGTCCTGGTGCCGCCGGTCAAGGGCAGTCGACGGCCGTTTGTTCGCCCTCATGCAGCTGCGATGGAGATGGGGGTGCAGACTGCTCCGGGAGAGGGCTGACCACCGTCCCAACTGGGCTCAGTGCTTTCACCTACTACCTGTAAGTACTAACCAACATCCACATACCTCCAAACGTGTCTGTGCACCCATACATGCCTCACCATGGAGGCCTGAGTGTGGGATGTTGTGTTTATATCAAGTGGGTGCATCCAACATCATGGGGTAAACTTCCCACAAATGGCCCACTGGAGATTAAAAAAAGTCCTAATGAAGGATGATGAACATGTCATATCTCCACAGAGTTCAGTTAAAGCTTGACAACTTGCCACCAACTTTCTATTGCAGCCAAAAAGTTACCCAGAACAATGTTAAATCAGATTCCCACTCATGCTATAATAGACATGTGCATGAGTGCTGCAGGCGACATGGTGAAAATCAAATATCACAGTATTTTTGACCAAATACCCCAATATCAATATTGGAACAATAGGGCTGACTATTGGTGCAGTCATGAAATATTTACACAAGAGATTTTTTGATAGATAATCATCAGTAATGTGGATATAATGACTAAGCAGAGGCAAATAAGAGAACAGCAAGGACAGTCTGGTCAGTTCAGAGATGACATCACTTTACTGTAATGTAACCTGCAAAACCAGGAAGACACTTATGATATTATAGCTGCAACTAATGGTTATTTTCATTGTCAGCTACTGTGTTGATTATTTTCTTGAATAATTGTTTGGTTGTTTGGTCTGTAAATTGTCATAAAATGGTGAAAAATGTTCATCAGTGTTTCCCAAAGCCCAAGTTGACATCCTCAAATGTCTTCTTTGTCCACAAGCCAAAGATTTTTAACTAACTGTCACAGAGAAGTAAAGAAATCAGGAAATATTCACATTTAAGAAGTTGAAATCTGAGATTTTTTTGTTTAAAAAAAAATGCTCAAACCAGTTAATCAATTATCAAATTAGTTGGTGATTAATTTAACAGCTGACAACTAATCTAGTTGTGATATCCAAACTTACAATATCCAAACTTATATTGATACAGTATGGATATTTTGCCGAGTCCTAGCTGCAACTGGTGGTTAAATGCTTTATCAGTTATTCAATCAATCATTTAGAGTTGCAACAACCTGCTGTAACCTTACTGGAAACTATTTTGACAATCAATTAATTATTTCAAATCCTTTTTCAAGCAAAACAATTTCTGGTTCCAGTGTCAAATATCTGCAGATTTGGTTCTTTCTTTGTCATATATGACAGTAAACTGAGTAGTTTGGGGTTTGGTTTTGTTGCTTTGATAAATAAGCAAATTAAATATGTCATCTTGGACTTGGGGAAATAATCATAGACATTTTTTTCTTCTCTTTGACAATTTTTAGACTGAACAGTCACTTTAGAAAATAATTGGCAGACCAATTGATGATGACAGTAATTGCTAGTTAGTTTGTTGAAAGCAGTGCGCAAAATGTCAAAATTGTGAAAAATGCCCATCACGTTTCCAGAGTCAAGCTGACGTCTAATAATTGTTATGCAACCAACAGTTCAAAATGAAAATAAATAAATAAATAAAGTAATTTACAATTATGTAAAACTTGGAAAAGCATCAAAACATCACATTTGAACCAGGTAAATGTTGAACTGTATTGCTTTATTATAGAGTAAATGAGCAAACAAATACATTTTAAGTTAATAGACAAATCATTTTAGCTCTAGACATGATATTTATTTCCACTTTATGATGGGTTAGCCCTATTTGTGGCATCAGCACTCAAAGGGTTATTTTACCTGTCGTCCAGCAGCAGGATGTGTCTTCAGAGGCATTAAAGTGATTTTAACCAGCAAACTGAAGACAGTATTGGGTTCACAAAAATACCTTGATGCAACATACTGCTGAATAACAGGTAAAACCATAACATTTGTATTTTTTCCCCCAAGTGCTGCTTTGAAAATCCTATTCGACCAACCCAACAAGCAATGTACGGAGTGCTGAGGTCACAAATAGGGACAGGTTTGGTTGAGTAATGCTGTGTGGATTGTAGCCAGCAGTGTGTTTAGTACAAAATAATTAGGAATCAAGCTTGTGCCATTATCACATTCTCACCACAAGTCTGACTAAGAGTTTAACTACTGCTTCATGTAAGGGCACTCATTTTTATACGAAAAAAAGTGTGGCACATGTGCAGGTAGGTTGACTCTTTATGGGGTGGTGCAGGTACAGTTGATGATTGCCCCATGTAGAAAGAAACTCCTTAGTTGTTTCACAACCTCGGTTAATCATAAACTATAGTAACCACCATGCTAAGTAACAGCATTCACAACAGCAGTTTAGTGTGGCTTTTTGTAATTACTGTACTCCCTTAAACAAATGAATAGAAGTGATGACTCTAAGTTTACATAGGTACTTGCCTGTTTAAAATGGGATCTTTGGTTAAGTAAATAACCTGTATTTCACTGTCACCTTGCCTAAAAGGTTTGTTCTTGTGTGTGGAAACCTCTCTGTTGTTTTGCCATCTTTTAACAATGGTGGCCAAAGCCTTGCTACACCAGACCCAATACTGGTGCCACTAGAAATCACTATTGTTAAGAAAGTGCTGGGTAAAGTAAACAGAGGAAGTGGATTCATATGCCAGGCTGTCAAGACATGTCACACTGAGCCCACTGCTTAAGCTGAAACTCTCAGTGTACTCTTTCCTTATTATGGGCAGTCTGACATCCCGATCACAACATGAAGCAATGTTTTCACAGAATGATATCATAGCCCGTGCTGCCACTCTGACGGCCCTTTTTTATGCCAAAATGGAGAACAATGTGTTTCCAAGATAGTGCTATCTTCTTGTCTCTGCTCTGTGCCTATCCCAATAACAGGTTTTAAACGCTAAACTGCTTCATATATTCACTTGAGCCTCTTAAAAGTATGTGAAAGGTTGTTTGTCCCTCGCTCTGTCCTACTCTCATTTGTTCTCCTGGTCTCTTGAACTTAAGTTGTCCTCTCCCACTCCCTCCGTCTTTTGTATGTGGAGCACTGGGGTTAGGGATCATGATGGATTAGTGAGACATATTGCAGCTGCAAGGGCTCCTTCTCTCAGGGCTAATGCACCCACAATGGTCTGCTGATGTGTAAAGGGAGAAAAAAAAGTCTTGTATATGAGTGTTTTGTCATTGCAGCATTCGAACTGAACTTTTACAAGTTTGTTTGCAGTTATCATGTCTTGAGAATCGATTTGATGGCTTAGAGGCGCTGGGAAAAATCCAGTGTAGTCAGTGCCAACAACTGAAAGGAAGGTGTAAATTTTAAGATACAAACAGGCACACACACACACACACACACACACACACACACACACATAACCGCAGAAACAGACAGCTCCAAGATAGTGTTTTGTAATTGTAGCAGTGCCCAAAGGTCAAGAGGTCCTTAATACAAGTATGAGTTTTTTACGCTGTTCCTATTGTTACCTTCCTACTGTTGATTTGTGCCTTTGCTTTTGGAAAAAAAAAGTCATGGCAAGGGAAGACCACACATTTTGCAATAAATCATATGACGATGTTGGAGTGGACTCTCACCTGCAGCCCACAGGGGCTTGAGTTTTGGCATCTGTAATGGAAACAGTCCTGTCACAGAAAAGCAGATGAGAAAAGAGGAGGCCCCTCAGCCAGTAACAAAGAAAACACTCCTATTGAAGGTATGTAGTTTACCTGCCACCGAGCCTCTGCACAGGTTTTTGGTACAGTGTGTGCATTAACTCGTGCATTTTAAAGGAGCTAGAGGGGGTTGTTACAGCTTACATCTCGGCTGTGTTAGGTCCTTTCATAGCGTGAACACGGTTGAGACTTAGGGAAAGAGGAGGGGTGGCGTCAGGGGTCCTGCACTCTGCTGGTGGAGCTCGCCGGCTTCACCATTGGTGCCCTCAATCCATTTTTAACTGAATGATACTTTTGTTCTTGGTCAGCAGAGGTGAAAGGAGCCAGTCAGAGGTTCCCACTCTCAAACAGGATGACTTGTGGATAGGAGAATATTAACCCTGTCCTCTACTTATACACCTATTCCCCCCCCCTCCCCCCCCCAAAATCACTCAGTTTCTAACTGCTAATGGTAGCTGGTTTTCTGAATCTCCAGTATTTAGAAATTCAGTGTTACCCCAAGCTGAGTTTGGTAGGAGTTTTAGGTTTGTGACTTAAACGGGGGTATCATAGCTATGTTTACTAAGCAAGCAAGATCTTTGGACCTGTATGGCCTTGGTCAGATTGCCAGCCCAAATCTGTTTTTTTGGCACATCTACTGTAGATTGTATCCAGATTGATTTTAGAAAGTAGGACAGCAAAAAAACACATGAATGTGATGTCTGCAAATTGGATCCAAACACATTTGGAGGTGGTTTTAAGTGCGATTCCAGTTGAATTTCTCCAGATGCGTCTCAGTCCGGACACTCTGGAAGCTCAAATTGGATTTGTCAATGTTAAATTCAGAGAAGTTGAAGTGCTGAGCAAAATCCATGCTGCTTTTAGCAGAGCGCTATGGACGATGACAAGGAGAACCACAGTCCGTGGACAGACACTGTAATAAAATGAAGTGAAGGGCAAGTTCTGTACTGCACCTCGACAGTGTGATTGTTCGTTGGGCAAAATGACGGGCCTCCATTTCTCATACTTTCCCATTGAGAACTGTCTCACCAGCGTAGCCACATAGTTACTGACGCCTACATTGTTTGCAAAGCAACCCATGCAGATAAGTTGGTGATGTCTGGATAAATATATCCAATCCAATCACTTGCAAGGAACAGTGTACATAGTCTCAAAGACCTGATTTGAGAAACAAATCTGATTTGCCTGCAGTCTGAACATAGTCTAAATTGACTTTTAACAATGGCTGATTGCAGCAAAGTAAAGACTGTGTGGTCTTGGTCTCCAAAGTTGGGCAAGTGGTAGAAGATTTGAAGAAGCTTAGAGTTTCAATATAACAAATATTCTTTGTATGCAATGTTTGTCATGTGGAGAGCATATTGAGGACTTGCGACAACAGTTTTACAGGTCCTTATTTGACATTAATTCAGGTGGACAGTGATGAACTTTAAGTGTATTGTAGCTTTGGACT